TTTTTTTTTTTTTACCAGCTGAGAGGTTTTTTTTTTTTAAAAAGGGGTGCAACACGAGGACTTCCCAGGGGTCCCATCCTAATACTAATCTCACCCAAACACGCTTAACTGCGGAATTCTGATAAGATCCGGTGGATTAGTGCTGATATGATCGCACCCTTACCAGCTGAGAGGTTAATTTGCTTTGAATGCCCGCCTGGAATTTGTTAACTATTTTATTTACCGGTGGTAAAAAAAATTCCGGTGCGTCAGTTACCCAAGCAGGCAGTGGGTTAAAAATGGCAGAAAAAAAGTGTTGAAAGAGCAGAAAAGGCCAAAGTTCAGATTTTGCTCACAAAATCTTGTGTTGGGACAATTTTTTTCGACTTGTAAACATCAAATGAGTTATTTTGATTATTTTATTTTATTTTTATTGCTTTCGGTGCATTTTTATTTGTACGAGTTTGTCTGAAAATGTGCCTTTTTTAATTTTTAAATTTTTATTTTTATTTCATGATTTATTGTGGAACATCTCGACATTTATAAATATATTCTTTGGACAAATCATTCATGTACGCTTAACATACATTTTGTGGTGGCTTTGGAAATCGCGCAACTTATGGATTTTTCAAATAATTTGGATGTCGGAGAATGTTATTATTCGTCATTGTTATCGTCTGATTCGGTAATCCGAAATTACTAGCCTCAAACCACGCTTTAGATGGATTATTCCGTTATTACCAACACCGACATGGTCAGCACTCATCCCGGTCCGCATACTAAACCGATCAAACTATAGAAGACCGAGGTGATCATCGCACCGAGGTCATCCCGAGCCGAGGTCATCATAAACCGAAATCTCCATGAACCGAGGTCACTATTCCCGAAGCTGGTGACAAGGCGCCTACGCGCAAGCCTCACACATCACAAGATCCGTCATCATTTATGTGGGACCCACTCACATGGCCGCCCACCAAAAAAGCTATTTTACAAGAAAAAGCTACCGTACGTCTCGAAGTACGAGCCAAAAAGCTACTATAAATAGCACATCCATATTCTTGTACAAGGATCGATCGGTGAACATTTGATACATATATACAAAAACCCGACACCTTCACCTCGGTTCACCTCGGACCGGGGCCATCGTTGAGTTTTGATTGCATATTTAACGTCCAAATTACTCAAAGTACGTAACTAATCATATCCATAATCGTTGTTAACAATCATATAACAACAATTTACAAAAAAAAAAAAA